TCCTCACTGATCGCACAACCCCGAGCTTCCAACAGCTGGTTAAGAGCTATCTAATCGTGCAACCTAAATTTATAGCGTGCATGCATGCGCAAAGAACACGGAATTACAAGGACTTAGAAGGGAGATCAGGAGAGGGAGCGCCTACTTTCTGCATGGCCAGACTGCGGCGTGGGGGACGTAGCCTCTCTCCATGCATCGATCCGAGCATGCAGTCCGCGGGCGGGGTAGACACAGCAAGAGAAGGTGAGAGCGGGAAAGACGAAGCACAAGAAGAAAAGATACAGTTACAATGGGCCCCACCCAAAATTACAGTTACACACACGATTAAAGGCGCCGACCAATCAGAGTTCCGCCGCAGCCACACAGAGAAGCGCGTAAGCAAAAAGCACTGCGCGGCAAAATAAAATCCTAATTGCAAAATTCCTAAATTCCTATCTAATGCAGAAAAAGTGAAAAACACAAATCCAAAAAGAAAGTCTGAAATTCCGAGAGCCATAGTGGCTCGACAAGATTCGAAAAAGAATTTCAAAAAGAAATTTCAAAAGGAACGAAGCAAAATTCCCGCGCGATGTCCGTGCCCAAAAGTCCAAAACCGAAACAAAAGAAGCGACATCAACATTTACTAATCGCGCGCACGGTCTCGCATCACTCACACAACCAATCAATCGATCGATCGTCCCGGGACTCACCTGGCCCTGAACCCAACCATCCGAAAAAAGACAAAAAAAAAGGAGGAAGAAGCGAGGACACCGATGCAATTTCCCTTCCATCCCGATCTCCCGCAGCTGGTTCATCCTTCCCAGCTTAGGACCCCTCGTTGCTACCACGCAGAAGATCGTGTGGTGCAGAAATCGGTTCGTCACATATGTGACGCCCAGGGGGTTCCAATCTTAACCAAGCTCCTGCTTGCTTGAATCTTGACACGTATCGATTTCTCTAATTGATCGACACGCGGAGCTTTCTGCATGACCACTTACCGTGTGAAAGAGTGTGGACATCATCCAATGTGGCATGCAAGCTCTGTCCTGCAATTTACTCAGGAGGGCTCTCGTCAATCTAAGGAGGGGATCATTCGTGCCATCGCCGTGGCACACATACCAATCAATGGCTCACCGATCACCAATGTCCAGCGGGGAGGGGAAACGAAAGCCGATACATGGGCGCATGGTGAGGGGGAGGGTTGAGGGGAAGGGGGGGCAAGAATCGTTCCACCTGGGCTACTGTTTCTGGGAGCTCCTGGTAACAGACGATCCTGTGGAAGCAGGGGAAGCGATTACCACTATGGGGGAGGGAGGCGAGATAATCGGAATATAGGGTGGTAAAGGTGCCGAGTGTGTTAAAAAAAAAAAAAAAAAAAAAAAAAAAAAAAAAAAAGGTGCGGAAGAGTGCCGCGCGGAAATGGTCGTAGTTTTCGCATGCGGGGATAGTCCCCGTAATCACGCAAGACGCCACGCGGCACTAAGGAGAAGGATGTGAAGGCAGAAGTCGGGGAGGGCGCATCAGGTTGAGGGATGGGGGTGAACGGTAACAACGAGGCGAGTGGCGTAGAAGAATCGGAAGGTGGTGATGGGGAAGGGATTGCGGGGGAAGGTGACACGGGTGGTGATTTGGCGCAGGGTGAGGTGATCAAGGGGACGACGGGATAACGACCGGGGACGAAGCCCGATGGCCCACATCGGTACGAGCTGGAACTGACGGACGGTCGGAGGCGGAGGGGGAGGGGGAGGGGGATCGGCTTCGTCGCCGCCTTGTCGGTGCGCTTGAAGTCTTGGCCTGTTCTCGATCTTCAGGCTTAGGCGGCTCTGGATCGCGGGCCGGATGGTCGGTGATCGATAAATTTGCCGCGCTGGCGAACTCCAGTTGTCGTTTCCCGACCGTGATTTCGTCTCTCTTGCGCGCCGCTTCGGGGTCTTCCGCCTGAGTGTCCGCATGCTCCGCTTCCTCTGCCGAGATCTCCCACTCGGACTCCTCCAGTTCCAACTCGTCCTCTTCCTATTCCTCTTCCTCACTCTGCTCCCCTTCGCTATGTTCACTGTAACTCCCCTCTTCCGGGGTCTCTTCCTCGTCGTTCTCCTCCACTGCTTCGTTTTCTTCTTCTTCGTCAGCACTTTCTTCTTCTTTTCTTCAATCGCTATTTCCTCGTTCTCGAAGGCCGTCCGATCCTGGAAGAAGGTGAGATCGATGATCTATAGTCCCGCTGCGATGGCAGGTTGCGGCCGCTTCCTGGTTCCTCCAGGCACACTGTCCACTGAAGATACAACGTCGAAGTCCGTGTGAAGACGTGCGGGACTGGGCTTTCGTCGCTCTGCGAGACGATCTCAAGGGGGAGATCGTCAACCAACTGCGCAAGAGGGACCGTGAGCTCCTGCACGATCAACTGGCGATGGTCGGGCCGTAGATCCGAAGAGGAAACCGAGAAGATCACCCTCCACGTCTGTCCTCCAGGCCTGGATGATCATCAACTCCAGGTACTCGAACCACTCGCGGTGTTCCTCGTCCCTTGTCCATGTAAGCCTCACTCCGACCAGGCACACCGACAGATCGATGAAGTGCTCGCACCACAACCGCCACTGCCTGGGATCGAGAAGGGGGACAACTAGTGGTTCCAAGCAGAAAGAGAAGCGAGGGTGGAGGCCGGACTGCCAAAAGGTGGGGAAGAGGGATGGGAGAGCGAAGGTGGAAAGTCGGGAATGGTTCATTGAGGACGGGGGAAGGGGACGAGTTCGGGAAGCACGACCGCCGGCTCGTGTTGTAACGCCCGAATCCCTCCGAGATCGATGCCGTTTGTAGGGACAAGATTGTCCTCGTGGCGCGTTAGCCAATGGTTCCACTCAACTGCCAACTGCTGGCCCCCCTGTCGTAATGACGTCCGGATGGCCGTATGCCGTAGCGGACTGATTGCGCTGATATCGGCGCTGAAGCCGACGACTGTGGACACGTGGCTAACTCCTGGAGCTGACCACCGATGGACAGCTACTGCTTCTGCTAGCATGACCGTCTGTGGACTGTCCGCGAATCGGAACTTTGCGGCTGCGTACACTCCCGAAGTGCAGAAGAACTGCGCAAGTCGTAGAAGGTCGAGGTTGAATCACGGATGATGAACTTGCCGGATTGCTGAGATGTAACCTCGCGGTGCGAGCAGATGATCGTCGAGGGCTCATTCTGTGAGAAAACTCATGGCGATGGTGGTGGGGACGGAGTAGGGGATAAAGCGAGAGATGTAGGGGAGGAAGAAAGCGATGGAGATTCGTTGTCCTCTTCCGTAGCAAAGGAGGAGGAAGAAGATGCAGGGGATGGGGAAGAAGGGAGAGGACATAGATAGGACACGTGGCGGACGATCGGTCGTGCCGATCGGCTTCCCGAGACCTCCGGCACGAGGCGCACGGTGCTCACTCCGTTCGGTCCAAGCTCGATCACTCGGAATCGCCCGAAGAATCGTGGCGCTATCTTACCTTGGCGAGCACATTTCCTCACCTGCACCAAGTCCCCTAATTTGTACTGGGGCCGCGGACCCGCGTTCCCGTTCCGGGCCTCGTAACTACAAACCTGTCAGCCGTGGGCCAAGTCAGTCATTTTCTGGCGCTTTCGGGCTAATCGGGGCAGGGACCTTTCCATTAATTCCAGGTGCCGCTTGGCCTTGTCTCGAACCGTGGCCCTCGTGGGCCGTCGGTTCAACGAAGATTCGTCCGGGAGGCTCGGTATCGAGACGCAAGCCACGCTATTGGTTCATAATTGAAAAGGGCTAAGGCCCGTCGATTCATGGGGCGTTCCCCGATGGACCGCCAAGATATGATCTACGATATCGGGTCAGGGCCTAGGGTCCCGTGCCGCGATATTGCGTTGTAGCGCAGTCTTTATCACCCTATTTGCATTTTCTACCAACCCGTTAGATTGCGACATGTGGGGTGCAGTATTCCGAATAGCGACGTTGTGTACGACTAGATTCCTCAGGACTTCCCCCCTGAATTCTACCCCATTATCGGTCAGGATTTCCTCCGTGTCCTGGTGCATCCCTAAAAACCGGTTGACGTATCGTGCAATTTCGGCTGCCTGTCGCGTACGATACGGATACGCTTCCATCCATTTTGAAAAATGGTCCACGAACACGGGTAGGATTGAATATTCACAACTATTGGGTCCAGGGGGTACCACAATATCGGTAGTATCTATGCTAACCCTTTGAAACGATCGTTCCACTACTGTCGGTACTATCGATCTTGGCGGCTGGATCGGCACCTTGTCGGCCGCGCAGACCTGACAGTTCGCGATGATGAATTTCACGTCGTCACGAATATTGGACCAGTACCACTCATTTTTGTCGATGGCTGCTTCCGTAATTCGTACGGCAAAATGGGCAGCAGTCTCCTCGTGCGCTGTCTTTACCCAGTCATACCTCATGAAGGGGTGCGGTACTACCATCCAAATTCCACTACCATCTGTTTTCCGTTTTTCCAACCGTCCCTCAATCTAGCGGTAGTCCCGAGCCCTTTCGTTGGCCCTCCTCCGATCTTCTTTGGTGAAGTCGTGGAGGGGGTTACCCACTAGAGTAGCAATCAAGGCGATATCCATCCATACTTCGACCCTTCTAAACCTCCGGGTCTTTTCCAACCCTTCTGACGTGGCGTCTAGAAAACGAGCCTCGGTCGGGATCTTATCAACCCGACACAAGGGGCACAGCCAAGGCTTGCTGTCATTTCGGTATTGGATGCACGAACCATGGGCTCGTGCGACACATTGTCGACAATCTACCCATTCCGCGTATCCCTCCCCGCTAGGACGCATAGAGACAGAATACACGTGGGAAATGGCCTCGCAAAAATAACAAAATTTATCAGGCAGAGAAAGGAGAGATGAGGAGGAGAGGGGAGAGAGAGGAGTTACAGGGTTACCTACATCACCCATTGCCACCTGCCTGCTTCTTGCCACGTGGAAGGACTGCCACTTGTCTGTACTTGGGCCCGTTTGCCGACTCCGGTTCCTTCCACGGGATGATTTCCTCTGCTTTAGGCACCTTAGCTGGTCAATGCAGTCGTGTCAGCCCGTCCGCGTTGCCGTGTCTCTCTGTCTTTCGATGGATAATGTCGAAGTCGTACTCCTGTGGGCGCACTGCCCAACGACCAATCATGCCCGTGTAATTAGTGAGCCTCTTCAGCGCTAACAGGGGCTCATGATCGGTGACAAGGAGGAACTTCTGTCCGTACAGATACAGATGAAAGTGCTGGATTCCCCACACCACTGCGTAGCATTCGCCTTGTGGGGCTGAGTCGTTCCTCCATTTGTCCGACACCGTGTGTGACGCATACTCTATGACATGCTCTTGACCATCATTCCCCTTCTGCGCTAAAATAGCGGAAATAACTTCCGGTTGCCAGTCCGTGATGAGAATGAACTGCTTCGAGGGGTCCGGTCGGATAAAAATAGGTGTCATTGCTAGAGCTTCCTTGAGGATCGAGAAGGCCTGCGCGCACTCCGCGTCCCAACTGAGGGGCTGGTCCTTTCGTAACAGGTTCGTTAAGGGTCGTGCAATCACGGCGAAGCCCTTGATGAAGCGACGATAGTACGAGGCTAACCCCAAGAAGGCTTGAACCTGCGTCAGTAACGTGGGAACAGGAGCTTCTTTCACCGCTGCGACCTTTCTCGAGTCAGGCCACAATCCTCCACGTGTCACGACGTAGCCCAAGAACGAAATTTCCGAAAGGAAAAATTCGCTTTTTTCGAGCGCAATCTTGAATCCAGCGTCTCTTAGAGCACCTAGTGTCCACTCGACATGCTGCGCATGCCCGTGATAGGTCTCCGAATAAACCAGGATGTCATCCATGTACACTATGACGCAGAAGTTGATCATGCCCTGCGTTAACCGTGTCTTGTTGACGAAGTTCTGAAACGTGACGTTCATGGCCCGCTGAAACGTGGCCGGCGCATTGCAAATCCCCATTGGGCATCGAACCCACTGCCACGTGCCTTCAAACAACATGAAGGCCGTTTTCGGCCGATCTTCCTCCTTAACCAGAATGTGATGGAAGCCATGCCGAATATCACACTTACTGAAGTAATTAGCACACCCAATCGCATCCAACAAATCATCAATCCGGGGGAGGAGATACACATCTTTAATCGTGATGTCATTCAGTTTACGATAATCAATGCATATGCGGATCGATCCGTTCTTTTTTGGTACTAATACTACTGGAAATGACCATGGTCCGGTGGCGGGTTCAATCCAACCGCTTGCTTCAAATTTCTGAATCCGTTCGAGAGCCTTTTTTCGTTCTACTAGGGAATATCTGTAAGGTTTGCAGTGAATCGGGGAATGATTCCCCGTCTGAATTTCGTGTTGTATGACTACTGATAGTCCAATGTCTGTGTTTGTCACACTAATCACTTCTTTGTATTCTTTCAGGATGTTTGCGATCAGGTGATGAATCTCATCAAGTACGTATCGAGGTACGTGCAACTCGTATAACTCGTCCCAAATCCGTACATCAATGTGTTTCATATTCATTCGCTTGGTGTTTTCCGACGGGGGTGCGGAGATGAAGGAGTTATCCGATCGCCAGGAGAACGCTGTGGCCATCATTTGTGCATCCTGCTCTCGGATGGACACGTGTTCTTCAGGCGTCACTCCGTCTCGAATGTCCTGCCACGGCACGGGTTTCGTGACGATCTTGATTCCGAGTCCGCTCTCGAGGCGCTCAGGGGGTTCCAAAGAGTTGATTTCTGCCCCTAAGCGTAACAATCGGATCTCTTTTGCAGGTGTCAACAGAGACTTCGGAAGACCCGTGATGTCGCAGTAGTGTCTTGTGTCATTGTATCGGGCGAGAAGAGGGGAGATTCCTTCGTACAAGGTTCGAGGGGGTTCCAAAGAATCGATCATCCTTGAAATTTGTACGAGAGGTTCTCCCATAATCATCGCCTGTGTTCTCTGCAAATCTTGATTAGTTCTGCTTGGGGCTTTGGCTTTCGTCCGCTGCACGGGGTAATGAATACGTTCTCGCGCCATCTCCAATATTTCGGGATCATCATCGCCATCGCTGTTGTCTGCGTCCTTGGACGTCTGCCCGTTGTCCCAGGTAATCATGCGAAGGGTCCTTGTCATCGCGGGAGAAACTCGCGGGGTTATGTTAACGGTAGTGCATAGAGTCAGTCTCATCGGTACAACATAGGGTTTGCCTCCCGTATTTCGGAGTACAATCGATCGCCTTTCGAAGTCCAGATTGGCTCGAAGTGCTATCAGGGCGGGAAGGCCGAAAAAAACGTCGTAAGTATTAACATCTAATACTACAACGTTGCCCAAAGCATGCACCTTTCCTAATCGAAAAACAACGTTCGTCATTCGTCCCACTCTTTTGATCTTTTCTTCATCCGCCGAGACGAGCTGATCTTTTTCTGTGAGCATGATTAGATCGTTCTTTCTTCCGGCTCTCTCCACTCGTAGCGAAATAGCCAGAACAGCGGCTCCTTAGTCGATAATGGCATTATACGGGATTCCCCATACCTCAATGTCGCATTCCGCGGATTTCCATGGGATAGGCTTGATTCGCAGGAAGTGATCATCTTTCTGTATTAGCCCTATGCGTATGGGATCGGAAGTGCCTGTGGCATTTTCGCCTGGTATTGGTCCTTTAGTTTTCGTGTTGGCCGTTCAGGCAAGGGTGAATCGTTTTTACGATGCTGCAGCATATGCTCATTAGCCTGTTCTGATATCGAACGCAGATGACCGATCGGAAGAGGAATCCGATGATCCAATGCTCAAATGATGTTCAGAACATCGATTTCGCCAGTGACGAAGGTGGGTCCTCCCGACTCCATCTCTCCTGGAGAAGGTCGCCATTCCGCCACTTCTTTCTGTTCCTGCACAGGTCTGATTGTTCCAATCATTCCAAGCCCCAGATACCCAAGTGATACATACTGATCCAACGGAATGAGCTCAGCAGCCTCTTCCGTGGTAGCTAACGCACTTCCACTGCCTTCCATTTCTTCCATCGAAGCTCCTACTTCGGCTACCCGTCCAGGTCTGTTGGCGATGGCGGCCGCCGCCATTGGTGCGACCCCGACCCGTGGTTGTGGGGGTCGATGAGGGCAATCTCGGGCTAAATGGCCCGGTTGATGGCATGCGTAGCAGACATTCAGATTGCCCGCGGCCCCTCCGAGAACAGGTGCCGGGGCCAGCCCTTGTTGGATTGGGGCGGCGCGTACTAGGATGGGCCGCATATTTCTCATCATAGCCTCCAGTCGAGCATTATGCTCTCGCTGTTCCTTTTTGCTTTCCTGGATTAGGCTAATTAGTGTTTTGGTTAGTTCCAAAATGGCGGTTGACTCACTTGACCGTACGGGGTTTTCGATCGGCAGTGGGGGTGCTGTCATTACAGGTGCCGGCATCATAGGGACGGGCATACCCGTAATCACACTCGGGGCTGGTCGTTTAGGGGATATCTGCTTCAGATAGGTAACAGGTCCTGACACGAACCCCATATTTTCGAACTTGTTTTGCAACGCTGCCAACTCAGCTTTTGCCCTCGCAAGTTCGAACGAGTCTCCTTCCTTAGGATAGTCTTCTCCTTCTAGGAAACTCGCCGTGAACTCCCGTTCCATTTCTTCTGCAGCAACCATGATCTGTTGCAACGTATGATTGATGGGGGAGAACTGTTTTCGCAGTTTCACCCTCATCGTTCGGCTGCGAAGTCCATCGATAAACAAGTCTCTTCCTACTTGCTCAACCCGTTCTGTCTTTACAAACATTCGATAGAACCGGTTTCGATATTCCGTGACAGACTCAAGGGGTTTTTGAACGCGATCTTTAATCATGAAAAGTGCTTGCTCCGGATAGATGTAATCAAATCTGTTCAAAAAATCTTGCTCGAAGGTCGAAAGATCTACCCATACATAGGTACTAAACCAGTGATGAGCGTTCCCTCCTAATCGAGCGGGAATGTTCACCTGAGCTTCGTTATAGTCATACTGCTGAGCTCGGAGCGTGGCTAGCCACGCTCCAGCAAGATGGTGTGCAGGATCAAATAGATAGAGATCGGGTGGCGTCATAGGAGCCCGTGCTCGTGGCGCGGGTTGATTAGGATTTTGTTGTTGATTGGGGTTTTGCTGCTGATTCGGATTAGCATTCATGTTGGCTGCCCGTCGATTAGCCGATCTGCTTCTAGTGACGACGGGGTCGCGTCTATGCGCGTTTCGGGGTCGAGGTCGCCCTCGGTTAGCCAGAGCGCTTAACTATCGTGTTACCGATCCTACAACCCAGCCACGTGTCGGGCTCCGATACCAACCTCACGCCCGACGCGACTTCCTGATCGGAGTGGGATGTGGGCCTGAAAGTGCGAAATGGGGTGTGCCAATGATTTTTGGGAAAGTGGGGGTAAAGTCGCAGGTCAGAACTGAGATCTCCTGTGGCAGAGTTTTAGGGGCATGAGTGCAATTAGGCTAGGGGCGGGTTATGGCCGTCGATACGTACTGTGCATTCGGGGCCGCCGGGCCCGTTGTTTTATTGGTGATTCGGGAGAGGCCCACGACGCGGTTCCCGGGGCTCGGACCTTCCGAAGCCGCCACGTGGCGCCTGTCGCCTCGCGTTGTGGTTGGGCGTCGAAGTTTCGGGGGTCCTACGATGGTTGCGCCGTCTGCAGTTTCCGCACGGTGTACGGGGCCAGTATTGGGTGATGGCATTCCACGGTACCACCGTAAGATGATGGTATGGGAGGAGAAGACGGAAGGGAGGGAAATTAGTGGTGATGACAACAAAACCGGGGGATATGAAGTGTTGCGTATTGTATGTCGTTGGGTAATCAGGGCACGGTGGCTCACTAGTGACTGCACAGTGGAACTCCTGGGGGCACAGTCGGTTCTCGGTTAGGCAGGGAAACTCCGGGCGTCTTTGTCTGAGATACTCTCTTACCGAGGGATCGAAATACTCTGAATCCCACGACGAGTCTGAGTCCCTCGAGTACGTCATTTATCATCGCGGGAAATCGCGGAATTCCCTAGTGCGTGTTTATTCGGCTGGGGAATTTTCGGGTTTGGTGTTCGGAAATTCCGTGCTTGTCCTGGTATTCAACGGGGCCGAATCACCGCGCGTGAGTACATGTAGGCCGCGTAGATTGGATCGCGCTTACATGTGCTTCTGCGGGATGATCGCTCCGTTAGAATGCAAAGGGGTCACCGAATGCATCCAACCCTTCATTTAATCATTCCATATCCCTGCAGATTGCGCACGTGAGTGGGCGACACATACATCGAGGCCCTACAATCAATCATCAATCCAATCTCCAGCTACCTTGTTTAGTATGAGCAAAAACGAGAAGAGAAACAGCAAACATACCACTCATTCCACACAATGCAACATCCATTCGTTCAATCAAAATATCCGAAATAAGGGGATGATCCCAGCAAGCAAACATGCGTTACGGTCCGAAGGCCGAAGGCGAGAGAGGGGATGGGGGCCCGACACAGAAATCCAAATCCACAGAAACAAAAGAAAAGCCGAGACAACAGTGCCGAAAACAAAATAGAGGCAAATCGCCTGTTATCGAGCCCGAAACTTATATACAAGATGAAGGAGGAGGTAAAGAAAATTGCAAATCCACACCCATCACCCATCACCCTCAACTCTCTCTCTCTCTCTC